GGTGGAGTTAAGGAGACTGGCGAGGACTGTGTTTGAGTAATCCAAGCGGGAGATGACAAATATATGCACGAGAGTTTCGGCTACTTTTGGGGTAAGGTACAGTCAGAGGCGGGCAATGTGGTGGAGGTGGAAGAAGGCGATCCTGGTCAGGGACCTAATGTGGAGGAGGAAGGACAAACTGGAGGTCAAACTGGACACCTAGGTTGCGCACTGGTTCGGTGAGTGTGAGGGAGAGCCCAGGGAGGTTGAGGAGCTTAGATCCGCAGGAGTGAAGACCTTGACAGGAGCCAAGGAGTATGGCTTCCCTCTTGTCCATATTCAGCTGCAGGAAGTTTACACTCATCCAGGCCCTGATGTCTGCCAGACAAGCTGATAAAACATCGGCGGACCTGGACGTGGTACTGGAGGAGCCAAAGTAGATTTGTGTATCATCCGCATACATGTGGATAACATCGCCCAGAGGGAACATATAGATAAGGAAAAGAAGAGGGCCAAGGATGGAGCCCTGGGGTACCCCGCAGGTGACTGGGCGGGGGTGGGAAAAGAAACCATTTGCCGAGATGAAATGAAAGCCAGCAGGGGGGAGAGGAGAGGGAGTTGAGTGACCAGCTGCTGGGTCGGGACGTGGTCGAGGCAGCAAATGGTGAACTTCATCCGGGTGATTGTGGTTGAGGGAGAGGAGGGAGAAATGGGGGCAAAGGAGTGTAAGGAGGGAGGAATGTCAGGAGTCGTGGCAGAGGCAGAAGTCAGTGTGGATGGTCTGGGTGGGGTGGAAGAGGACATGGTGGGGTGGGGGGGAGAAGAGGATGATGTAGCCAAGCGGATGTTTTCAATTTTTGAGGACCTCTTCGCACTTGGCATTTGATGTGTTACTACCTTTCTCACAGATGCCAATTCATAAAATGGGAATCAGAGCCATGCAAATCCTCCATCTGTTGAGCAGTGACATAATTAATGGGCTTTCAGAAATAAACAAAACCCATTGCACAGATATGCAAATGTTACAGAACTTTTTTTAAAAAAATTTTCACTCACATCACGTTTCTACATAACAGGCTGTATGCAAAAGAGACACAGAAGTCAAGGAAACACTCAAATGTCCAATATCATGTTTCGCATGGGATCACCTGATACAAACTAAGTCCACATAGTTGTATATATAGTTTATTTGACTTTTTGCTGGATTAGTGGATAAAGGCACCAACAAACAAAGCTACACACAAAGTGACAAAAAAGTAAAGGAAATAAATCCTACAGTCCTTTCCTTCAATAGTCTAGGTTGACTTGAGTATGGGGAAAGAAAAGAGCACTACATTGTCAGAGTTGCTATTCTTCTGATGAGATGCTAAACTGAGGTCCAGTCTGTCTCTTCAGGTAAACTGCAAATACAGTCAAACATTTACGTTCTGTGGGCAGCATCCAAGACGAATGAGGTGCTTTAGTAGAGGGTTGATCACTTTAGTTGAACACTGCTCAACTGGTCAGGTGGCAGCAGCCCACGGAACATTTCAGGACAATATTTCTTGGAAAAATTTAAGCTTCTCCGTCTTTGAATTAAGAGTTACAAAGGTTCCATTCATTTTCAATTCTAAAGGAAACGGAGTTTCATGCCTTCCTGTTCCATTTGCTAATGAAAACATCCACTTCTACAACAACAAACACAAACCAGCTCATGCAGTTTTTAGAAACTGGTCCTGATCAGGTCACAATTCGACAAAATCTCTGAATCTCACCTCCTAGAAAATTACTAGACTTTACTGTAAATCTTGATAAACCGTTTTTAGCTGACTTACCCATATTAAATGCAATTATTATTATTAATAAAATTAACATACAGATCAAGAACACAATAAAAAAGCTTGATGAACAGAAAAAGCTTGGAACACATCTCTTTGTTTGATTACCTGGAGACTAGAGGATTAGAGCACAAAGCATTATGTCTCCACTTTCTACAAAATGAAATTGAGCAACATCTATGCAACCTAAGCCTTTGGACGAGTACATTTTCTTAAAAAGTTGACTTGCTTGCACAAATATCACTGCATTTCCTATGTATAACACATTATATTTTCTCTCTTTTGTTAGTACTGTATTTATATATTTTTAAAATAAGAAGAGCTGTGAAATCTGATCAAAAACATCAGGTCCAAAATGGAAAACGTTGCACCAGTGTTTTGTTTGAGCCCTTGGTAATTAATTGGACATATGGAGTTTAGGAGAATATCCTTTCTTTTTAAGCAAAATCAAAAGTAGTCACAAAGCAGGGAATATATTTTAAAAATTGAAGTAATGATTTGAAATAAGTAGGCTTGATAGGTTTGTAAGAACCAAAAGATTAAACAGTTGTTGTATTTACATATTGTGTGCATACTGGCACTTTGGATTATTCAATTGCTTTACAAGGATCAAACATCCAAGGAAGCAAATTCAAGACACGGAATGCATCAAAGCTAAACGTCCTGCCTTCCTTTGGAAAGTTAATAAGAATTTCAGCACCTGCAATAATTTTGATCAAAGACACTGCCTGAAAGACTAGATGTTTTGTTACATATAATATACAACATATCAACTACTGTATTTACTCAAACCATGAGGCTAATCCAGATGAACCCAGAGGTGTTTACAACTGTTAATCATTTACCGCATTTTCACAGCGCAGATCCAGATTAGCAATTAATTTAAAGTAAACAGGACTGAGGAAGTTTGAATGACCAATAAGATGAACCCTTTAAATTTGCTGTTATTGTGGATTTTTATAAAAAGAAATGCATTAATAAAATGTTACTCAAAGGCACAAGTTAGACCAAAAGACAACAAGGGCAACATCTTCCATTCTTGATCGTCAATAAATTTATTCTTAGCAGTACATAAGTTTGATCTGATAAATAATATGAATGGTCGTTATAGGACGATCCAATGCCGACAGATGTTTTCATATGGAGAAGGAAAGATGAGAGAGGGGATAATGATTTACACAAATGAGGTGGAGCTATAATCTGCCACTGCACATATGCTGGAATTGTAGTTCAGATGATTAATACCCAGACCCAATTTTGTGCTGGTTTAACAAGCGCAGATAATTAAAATGGAAGCTAAGTGAAATATAAAACACAACAAAAAGCTTAAGTCAGACAAACAGTCCTATGCACATTTTTACAATTAAATTTCATGATGTGCAGACTGTATTAGCTAACAGATATTCCTTCAGTTTCTGGAAATGGCCATTTCCATTTAGCATAAGATTCTGCATTTAAAAGTCCAACAATTAAACTCCGACAGCAACAAATGTCTCAAGTTAATTCAAATAAGAGGCCCTAATAACATTTACCCTCATGTACCTTGTTAGAGAAGTTTAGTGAATCAGAATGCATTTCACCTTAGCTTCAGTCCAAGGGTTAACTTGTGGATTACATTTTCTGTTTATGAAATGATAGAATAATCATTTTTTAAACACTAAAGAGTGTATTTTACTTAAAAATGCAAACCTTCGCTGATTAAATGTAAAAATTGCTCAAACGCTCTAAATTACAACAACAACTTGCATTTATACATCATCCTTCACACTGGATAGTGTCTCAGAGCACTACCAGGCATGCAAAACATAGCGAACATTGCAAAATGTTTCAGCCAGAAGTGAATCATGAACTCCTAAGAAAATAACTGTGGAACCTGTAAACCATGTAAAACTGGTCATTGACTGCAAGCACTACTGATGGTAGTTAACGACTGTCCAGACACTGGATATTGATCAGACAAGTTCTTGACAAATCTTGGAGACTAATTAGTGCTATATTCCGTCAATCGTCATTGTATAACATATTGCCGACCACAGAAACAGACCAGACCAAACTTTTACATGAACCCAATGAGGTAATCACTCCTGGTTCTCATACTGAGAGTAGCACGTGGGTGATAATAATATATCTTGCACGTGGAGTGCCTGTCTGTCATTGGGTTACAGTGGCAGAGTGATTCATACTCCCGTATATAGATATACAGGAGTAAAAAGCACTGTAATCTACATAAATAGCTGCAATATAAACAATAGCAGAAATGTTCCTGCGGAAGTTATTCAACACAGTTCAAACAATTTCACAAGAATTGAATAGAAATGGAAGAGAGCTGAAGTGTTCCAAGTCTGAGTGGTTTAAAAGTCGACCGAATATCTAACGAAACAAATATTTGTCTTTTTCAACAAGTCAAAAGGAAGCGTTGCATAAAGAATTATGAAATGATACAATAATCAACAATGCTTCCCCCAACACACACAAGATATTTGCATAGATCGTTTTTAAAGGTAGGCAGACACAGAACGAGATGTACAAAAAACAAGATACAACGCATGCATGAACATTTTTCTTTAGAAAAACACACAGGTATTGAAATGATGTAGGTGTATTTTTCTGTTTAGCTGCCCACGAGAAAAAAAGTGGACAAATAAGAAAAAAATATAGTGGGTGATACAAGTGGGCAAGTAAGCGAGTAGATGAGTAGGTGGGCATGCAAGCAAATAAGACTGTGGGCGTTGTAGGTGGGCTGGCAGGTAAGCAGGCTGATGGTGGGTGATGTAGGTGGGTTGGGTAAAGCAAACCGATGCGTAGGTGGAAGATAAGAAAAATAAACATAGGGTGATGCAGATGGGCAGATAGATTAACTGGAAAAAAAAGCAAACGCATACACATGGGGGAGACAGACAGCTCCCTCTCACACACACTGGGCAATGGGTTCCTTACACATATAGCGCTATAGGTACTCTATATACACACACACACATACACACACACACACATAGGGCAATGGGTACCCTATACACACACACACACACATAGGGCAATGGGTACCCTATACATACACACACACACACAGGGCAATGGGTACCCTACACACACACATAGGGCAATGGGTACCCTACACCCACACACTCGGGCAGTGGGTGCCCTGCACACACTCGGGCAGTGGGTGCCCTGCACACACTCGGGCAGTGGGTGCCCTGCACATACCCAGTCTCCATTGGCGCTGATCCAGTTGGCCAGGCTGCTGTCCAGGTAGGCGGTCATCCAGGCGGCGATGCTGTCCACCAGCGGGGCCATGTCCCTCCTCTTGCAGCTCTCCACGCACAAGGTGCCGCCGAAGACGAAGAAAGCCACGATGCGGCCCCAGTTGATCCCATCTCGGAACAGCTCCTCGGCCACAGCGTCGAAGCGGCTGCGGGCGCCGTCCGGCTCAAAGCGCATCTGCAGCGCGATGTCGGCGAACTCCTGCTGGTACTGCCGCTCGAAGCTGTCGCCCACCTCCCGCAGGACACGGTGCAGCTTCTCCAGGGCGGCCGAGGCGGGGGCGGGGGCCGGGGCCGGGGCCGGGGGGGTGCTGGTGTGCGGGGAGTCGGCAGCGCTGCCCAGAGCCTCCTCCCACACATAGCCGTGCCGGGACACACGGTAATACAGGTAGTGAAACACCAGCTCACGGCTCTCGTAGGACATGGCTGCAAACCAGCCCCGGAGACCAGTCAGCAAACACTTCCCAACTCAGCACCAGCACAGCATCCTCACCCACCACAGCCTCTCTCTGTCTGTCTGTCTGTCCGTCTCTCTGTCTGTCTCTCTGTCTCTCTCTCTCGATTTCTCTCTTTCTCTCTCTGTCTCTCTCTCTCTCTTCTCTTCTTTCTCTCTTTCCCTCCTTTCTCTTCACACACACACACACGCACACACAAACCTGGTGGCAAATACCAAGCTCGTCCAAAACAAACCCAAACTCTTCCAATCCCCAAACTAAAACAATATATATATATGTATTATATATATATATATATATATGTATTGAAAGGAGTAAAGTGTTAGGCTTTTTTTTTTGGGAGGGAATCTCTTGCTGTGGTCCGGTTTAGCTGAGCTCGAGGTCTCCAAACACCATCCTTTCCTTCCTCCCCCCCACCCCCACCCCCACCCCACCCACACCTCTCTCACCTTCTCTTTTAAAACATCCCCGGTTTTCCTTTCGGAAGGAAAGGGGAAAAAAAAAACAAAATTCCCGGTAAAATGCCCTCTCGGTTTTGAGAGCGGTCGGGATCAAAGGAAGATTGCTCCGGTTTCCTCCTCCTGTGGCTCTCGGTGTACATCCAAAGCCTTGTCCTTTGGCTGCAAATCGCTCTTCTTCAACTGCACAATTTCTCAACCCCCCACTTGGCTCTCTATGTGCGAGTCTCCAGCATCGCTGTAGCATTGAACCATCAGCTCCTTCAGAAAGAGACAGAGAGAAGAAAATCAGCTCCACCGAGTTACACATATACTGTATGTATATATATATATATATAAGCGAGAGAGAGAGAGAGAGAGCGCCTCCCTCTCTGCTACACAAGGATGAGGGTTTGGTTTCCAGGCTGAGCTGCTGGGACAGGACAGGCTCTTACTGCAGTTGCTGGTAACCTCAGGTGGTCGCGACTCCAGCAGCGAGTTACTCAATCACTCACTCACTCAGTCAGTGACTGAGCTGCTCCCGCGCTCTGGTTTCTCTCCCTCCCCTTTCACACACCCCCTCCCTCCCCACACACACCCCTCCTCCCCACACACACCCCTCCCTCCCCACACACACCCCTCCCTCCCCACACACACCCCTCCCTCCCCACACACACCCTCTCCCTCCCCACACACACTCCCTCCCCACACACACTCCCTCCCTCTCCTTCCACACACCCCTCCCTCCCCACACACACTCCTCCCTCTCCTTCCACACACCCCTCCCTCCCCACACACACTCCTCCCTCCCACACACACTCCTCCCTCCACCACACCCCTCTCCCACACACCCCCTCCCTCCCCACACACACCCCTCCCTCCCCACACACACCCCTCCCTCCCCACACCCCTCCCCCACACACCCCCTCCCCCCCACACACACTCCCTCCCTCCCTTCCACACACCCCTCCCTCCCCACACACACCCCTCCCTCCCACACACACCCCCTCCCTCCCACACACACTCCCTCCCTCCCCACACACACCCCTCCTCCCCACACACTCCCTCCCCCCACACACACCCCTCCCTCCCACACACACTCCTCCCTCCCTTCCACACACCCCCCTCCCTCCCACACACACCCCTCCCTCCCACACACACTCCCTCCTTCCCCTTCCACACACCCCCTCCCTTCCCACACACACCCCCTCCCTTCCCACACCCCCTCCCTCCCACACCCCCTCCCCACACACACCCCTCCTCCCACACACACCCCTCCCTCCCCTTCCACACACCCCTCCCTCCCCACACACACCCCCTCCCTCCCACACACACTCCCTCCCTCCCCACACACCCCTCCCTCCCCACACACACCCTCCCTCCCACACACACACCCTCCCTCCCCACACACACACCCTCCCTCCCTTCCACACACCCCTCCCTCCCCACACACACCCCCTCCCTCCCTTCCACACACCCCTCCCTCCACACACACTCCTCCCTCTCCTTCCACACACCCCTCCTCCACACACACACCCCCTCCCTCCCACACACACCCCCTCCCTCCACACACCCCCTCCCTCCCCACACACACTCCCTCCTCTCCTTCCACACACCCCCTCCCTCCCTCCCCACACACACCCCCTCCCTCCCTTCCACACACCCCCTCCCTCCCCACACACACTCCCTCCCTCCCCACACCCCCCTCCCTCCCCACACACACCCCCTCCCTCCCCACACACACTCCTCCCTCCCCACACACACTCCCTCCCTCCCTCCCCACACACACTCCTCCCTCTCCTTCCACACACCCCCTCCCTCCCCGCACACACTCCCTCCTCCCACACCACACTCCCTCCCTCTCCTTCCACACACCCCTCCCTCCCACACACACTCCCTCCCTCCCTTCCACACACTCCCTCCTCCCCTTCCACACACCCCCTCCCACACACACCCCCTCCCTCCCTTCCACACACCCCTCCCCTTCCACACACCCCCTCCTCCCACACACACTCCTCCCTCCCCACACCACCCCCTCCCTCCCCACACACACTCCCTCCCTCCCTTCCACACACCCTCCCTCCCCTTCCACACACCCCTCCCTCCCCACACACTCCCTCCCCTTTCACACACCCCTCCTCCCTTCCACACACCCTCCTCCCCACACACCCCTCCCTCCCTTCACACACCCTCTCCCTCCACACACACCCCCTCCCTCCACACACCCCCTCCCTCCACACACAGCCCTCCTCCCACA